TATATATATATATATATATATGCATATATACATATACATATATTATGCATATACATATACACGTATATATACACATACATGTGTATATATATGTATATATCAGAATTAATTTTCTTAATGATTACCAAAGGTTAATACTTTTCAAATTTTGCTTTTCGCAAAACTCACCCTCGTTCCTTATCCTTAATGAGATCCACTTGACAACTTGTTTCTACAGCAAGAATTTTTGCCCAAATGAACGCTAACCACGGTCGCAGTTCTTTTGTTGCACTTTGAAGCAACTTCAGAACATATGGAAATACACCGACAGAGAGGGCATGGCCTACGGCCCATGAACCCAAATCTAGAAAGCGGGCCAAAAGCTCCAGCGCTTTCACTCGATGTACCTCAAAATGTACCTCAAAACAATGATTACAATCATTTTTTTGTCAAATTTCATGCTGAAGTTTCAAAAAAAAAATTTCAGACTTAGTATAAGATGACTAAAACGCAAATAATAAAAAAATGCATTACTGCTTTATAACAATCTTCAACCAGTACCTGACTCAAAAGTACTTGCAAAACAACTGGAAGCTGTTGTGGGGGAGTCCTCCGTTCGCCACCATATTTAAGCCAAACTTCGAATGCTTGCAACTGTTCAATGAAAAACCAATTATGGGTGTAATCTGTTTCATCCACTGGTGCAAGGTGGGAAGTCACATCAATAAGCACTACAAAATAATGTTGAATTATTGAAATGTTCTCCAAAAGCTGGGTAAATGCTGGCTGCAAAAGATAGAATAACATAGGAAGCATAGTTCGCTGTGGGAGTTTATTAGTGACTAGTGACAACATAATTACAGATCGCATTGGTTTCTTTAAAGTGCCACGGAAAGGTTCACAATAACATGATTATATTGCTGAACTGCGATTTAAACTTCTATAGTGTCTATTAGTATTATTAACTTATGAAAAATTAATAACAATACAAACATACATTCGTGACGAACGGATGAACGTGAAAAATATATTTCTTTCCCAATAGACCAAAGTTTTTGTTTTGGTGTCGTTAAGCTCTCCATTTGACTCAAGCACAAATCGATGGTATAGTCCCAAGCATCCCAAAGAGGATGACTGTGAACAGATGGTAAAGAAGGATGAGAGATGACGTGACACTGATTTTCGCGCATTACTCGGTTAGCCAATACAAAACTTCGGAATACCGATGCAAGCAGCAAATCCTATAAAATAATGCAAAAAGTCCTACATTTTCGGAGATAATTTACAATGATTTTCATTGCACTATGCCACCACAATACTGTATTAAAAGCATAAATAGAAATTGGCGAATTTCATGGACAAATTCATAATGCATTATAAAAAAAGTAATTTTGGTAAAAATGTGGTATGATGGAAAGCTAAGAAAAATAATGTGGAATTACACCATCGTTAACCAAGAGGATTGTAAACAACGACTTCCTGAAAAGCTGAATCAAGAGACTCCGCTAAAAGAAAAAAGCCCAGAGCGTACCAATCGGAACAATTTCTGAAACAGTTCTTTTGGAAGCGAACTCCATGCAATCGTGTCGGTAATGGCTGTGAATATCCAGTTCAACTCGCCAAGCATGGTTCGACGATCACTTAGCTGACCAGGGATTTTATCAACTATAGTTACCGGAAATCGATCCTGAAGCATTGAAACATTACCAAATACATTAAAGGCAATATAAAGCTTATCCAAACAATGTCAATGAAACATGACTTCAGCGGATAAAGAATACACACCTCCAGATGATTTTTCAAGATATACCACAGGACTGAAGTTTGGATTGGGGTTAAAATACAAGACGTGAAAAGATCAGCCGGAAGTCTTGAATCCATTGGAAGTAATTCGTGGTCTCCGCATGCACCAATGTGAATACATTCCTACAATTTAAAACAGGATCACGTTATAAAACCACATTTCCCAATCGACAAACAACTTGAATGAGAACTTACTTTAAAGTTTGGCTTCTTCCGGAATCCAAAAGCAGCTGCCTTTTCCTCAAGACTCATTTCAGCTTGAATGATAGGTAACGGTGGTGGACGCGTTTCCATATGTTCATCGAGTTGCTTAACCCATTCTTTTTCATGATCTTCAGCAAAGCGGAAGAAGGACTTCACTAAAATACAATGATTAATTGAAAAAATATAACCCTACCACTCAGTTTCACTCCCAGAATACAAATAAAGTCACAGATATACTAAGTCAAAAAATCAAGTGATAGGAATCAAGAAACCAGAAAAGCATCAATTACATCCAACATGTTATTGAAGAATTCTCTCTCTGTGCATTAGTGTTGAATCCTATCAAGTTTTTCTAAAAAATGACTCACCCAATCAATCCACTGAAATCTGTCAGAAAAAAGTCTAAGAACTTACCAACAAGACCAGCGCAATGGCAATCCCAGACGTACACGGCCGGATGACCCATCCACGACTGCAAGTCAAAAATCGAAAGCGGGATGTACTAAAACTTATTTCTTATATTGGCGATTAATTTATTGAACAGATTGAGAAAATACATGACGTTTATTATATATTTCAAATATTTCCGAAACCTGAGTGAAATTTTTGTTGAAAACCCATATTTCACCATTTTCAGTCGGTCTTGGGACACCATGTCCATTGTAATGGAATAGAATGCGTTCTTCTTTGGCGTTGCGTCGTAAACTTTGACATAAACGTCGAACATCATCCACTGTTGGATCATTGGCTGTTTTATACCTGTAAAAAGGAAAACTAAAACAGAAGTAGAACCAAAATTTTGTCCAAAAATAGTATCAAGCATTTTATCAATTAGTTACATATCTTTACAAAAAGTTATGTATTCTTCACAATTCTTACGAAGTCACCGTTGTACAAAACATACAACGCCTAGAAACAGCAAATAACCTACTGCCGCCAAGTTACCTTGCACGCGGCTGCCAACGTTCGTAACTTTTCTGCAGCGCATTAGCGATTTTAACGACAGCTTTTTGGGGGTTCATTCCCAGTGGATCAATCCAGCATTCCTTTCGCGCACATGGATTTGGCCTATGAACATCTGGTGGGTCAACACCAATGTTCAGGCACAGCACAAGGGCTACCGATACTGTTCTCATGCGTTCTTTTGAATATTTCCGCCTGCAATACTTTTAGAGATGAAACGGCTGAAAATTCATGGAATCCATTTTCCTAGGTCCAACAAATATCATCTCTCGGTATGAATCTATATTTTCAGGCAACATGTCCCATTAAGCAGTGGAGATTCTGGTTACAAATATACGTGAAACAGTTGAAATTTTTTAAAAAATATATAAACATGTTAGTAAAAAACATGCCATAAATCTCTATCAACAATCTCCTCCTTAATCCCTATAATTCTCTTGATGTGTCGCAATTCTTGAAACCATGTTTGCAGTGGTGGATCGCTTCTCTGAAATAGTTAGCTAATATAAATTTTCTAGGCCAAAATAAGGTCTCACTTTCATACTTAACGGTCCTACCTCCTTTTTGTCATACTGTAACTTCTATATCAGTTTTCTAACATGTGCTTCTAGATATATGCTTTTGCACCATTATTCATAATACAACTCATATTACCACGAAGAAGTACAGAAACGCATTTGTCATTCGACGTTATCTACCACAAAGTGATTTATATGATCGAAGAATCCTACGATCATAAAATATGAAATCATATTAAATTATGTTTACCATATTTTTCAGTGTGATTTATCGAATTATACCTATTTTGGACTTCAAGAAAAGCAAATTTACCTCCTACCACTTAACGGTCCTAATCATTTTTATATTCTCTTCTACTCTAAACATACACACTTTCATTATCTGACTTTAATTTGTGGCTTGAAAGGAAAAAAGGAAAATGAAAATTTGCACATTAAACTTACAGCATCATCCATTGATTTAGTTGTAAGTGCTAAATGCGTCTTTCAGAAAATACTATGGAGAAAGCATTGAAGTTTATCGCACATAATCTGTAAATTGCTCTAATTAATATATTCCATAAATTATGCAATTAAACAAAAAACAGCAAATTTTTTTTTGTAACAAGAAAGCGTAAATAACTTCAAAAAAAAGTCACTCTCAGTCATTGCCCATACTATTTTCAATCTCCTTTTCTTCCTGATACACAAATCTTACTAATCTCTGCTGCTTGTCTGTTCTCTCAATGCAGCACTGTATTGCGCAAAATCTTATCAGTCTTTGCCACTCCTCAACCCAAATGTTACTTTCCTACGGTAACCATACATATTTTTGGCAGTGCAATATGGTACGAGAATCCTCATGTTACCTGCAACCTCTCGAAATGCGACATTCTTTTTTCCTTATTCTCACATTCTCTAATCATACTCGACTCTTTTCGCATACAGGTAAAGTGATGAAGCATTAGCAAAAATCGGAAGAAATTGGACAGAAAGAAAATGGTTGAAATATTACAGGATTCCATTGATTAACACATTTGGTGACATCCTTTGACCTGTAACTCTCAAAACAGGTCACGCCTTAACCTTTCCACCGACTTGCTACGGCACACGTCATACTGCTCACACGTTGCACCTCTATGCAACACACAATCCCATCGCTTTGTTCTTGAATTCAAATCATGAAAGAATGATCGCAACAATTCAAATTCATTTCATCTTTTGACGAAGGAAATACTGCAGGGAAAAATACTTCGCCGAAAGGTTAAGGGTCAAGTGAATTCAATGAAAAGTTGACACAACCGTGAATTAAATAAGAAATTGACATTCATTTCCCAATCAAAAAAATTTGATGTTATATTCGAATAAATCTAAGATTACTTTCTATGTGAAGTATAAGAACAAACTGATTCAAAATTGACGAATTTACTCAAAATTCAAAGTTATGGAAATTAATTTAAAGTAAAAGCAAAATATTACACTTATTTGTTACCAAAAATGTAACAATTTCTTCACAATAATGACGAATATTTCATCGACAATTTGTAAAATTACCGTACATTATCGTATGCTACCGTAAAATTACAATTTACATTAATATTTTACTCTTTTTCTTGCACATTCCTGAAACTAACGCCTCTTGCAAAGCGTGTTAACGTGCAGAATGCAGCAGTTACAAGATGGATAATGCAATGTGCGCTTTTAGCTTCATTTAAAAAATATGCAAATTTTTTGTGCGAATAATTTTCAATTTAATATTAGTGGCAAAGAATCGGTTCAATCATTCTTGTAACATATATTCTGCTGATCGGTTTGGTCTTCTTGCTTGGGTTCCTTTTGGATTTATTTGTTTATGACGTTTTCCATCGGTGTCAATTAATGCTTCCCTCATTTGTTCATGTCCCTAATTTTAATTAATTGCAGTGCTATCCCTAATTATGATTCTATTAAAATCTTTTACTTGTCCACATCCCTTTGATTATTTTAATGCACCATCTAATTAAGATCCTCTTAAAAGTAGCAATTAATTTACTCTGATCATTCAAATATTATTATTATTTTTTTTTTGCCTATGTAAAACATCTTCCTAAATGAATCTATAATGATGGTTTTGATAGAGAACTAATATGAAAGAAATGAATTACTTAAAGATCTATTTAAAGCATAGTAGTCTTTTTGAGGTTTTATTTGACATAATCATTTCTTCAAATAACATCTAATAATTTTTGATATTTGATATCACAAATCAAATCATCAATTGATAATAACGACACATTTTTATTTGCTCTTTTAATTGTTATTTGAGCAGTAAATTTTGCTAGACAAATAACAGCAAATTTAGCAATTTTACTTGCTATGATATTGTCTTAATAAGTATATCTAATGATATTTTTCCAGCGAGAATCAACAAGCCTATCAATAAAATGGATATTAAGAAGATGGTATGCTAGTTTTTTTTTTTTTTTTTTTTTTTGTTTAAATTTAACCTATTTGTTTAGGGACCAATTTCATTTTAAGTGGAATGTTTGGAAGAAACGAGGGACCAACTTCATTTTAAATGGGATATTAAATACAACTCACGAACAAATAAATCTCTTCATACGATTGGATTTTAACATTAACTGTTTAATAATTTGAACTACAAAGTTGTATTTATTACAGTATCCTTAAATAGCTATCTATTGTCATTTAATGTCATGAGAATTTGACGTGTTGACACAAATTTGCATATTTTTCACTTGTAATTTGCATTTTTTTTTCCTTTTTTTCCCTTTTTTTTTGGGTTGGAGACAGAGGATAAAAGAAAAAGATTAAATAATTTTAATACTTGTAAAAAATTTCATTCAATAATTTAAACATGAAAACAAAGGTCAAAATTTTATTGACCTTTAGCGTGAGGTTATTTCGGTGCATATTGGACAAGCTGGTGTACAAATTGGTAGTGCATGTTGGGAGCTATTTTGTTTGGAACATGGCATTCAACCAAATGGTCAACTGGGTTCGGAAACAGATGAATCAGTCAAGAGTAACACGGCATCACTTACGACATTCTTCTCTGAAACCGCTAGTGGACATTATGTTCCACGTGCTTTGCTTGCTGACTTGGAACCAACTGTTGTAGGTAATCAAAAAGCAAAAAAAAAAAGAAAACTTAATTTTAGTAATTAAGTATGGAAATTTGCATAAATAATCAGTTCATTTTTTTAATTATTAGAATAACTTAAAGTATAAATGATATTGATTAAGTATTAAGTATTGATTAAGTATAAATGAATTGGTTAAAATTTTTAAGATGTGGTTCGTACCGGAAAATACAAGGATTTATTCCATCCGCAACAAATGGTAACCGGTCGTGAGGATGCAGCAAATAATTATGCTCGTGGACATTATTCAATTGGGAAGGATATGATTGATTTGGTTATGGATCGTATCCGTCGTTTGGCCGAGAATTGTGGTGGTTTACAAGGTCAGGATTATTGATATGTTTTATCAGAAAAGAAACAAAAAAAAAAAAGGAAAAAACTTGTTGAGCAATTTTTTTTGCAGTTTTTTAGAAGTTTTCTAAGTACATTTTGTTAAGTTAAAACAAATAAAAAGATATAAAATAGTTTAAAGTGATAAGATAAAGGAATAGATGATAACAGGAAATGATTGAATAATTTATTTCTACTTTACAAAAATTTTGCCAGGATTTATGCTGTTTCATTCGTTTGGTGGTGGTACCGGTTCCGGTTTTACATCACTACTAATGGAACGTTTAACGATTGATTATGGGAAAAAAAGCAAGCTGGAATTTTCGATCTATCCAGCACCACAAGTTTCAACATCGGTTGTTGAACCGTATAATTCGGTTCTTACAACTCATGGTACTCTTGAGCATGTCGATTGCTCATTCATTGTGGATAATGAAGCAATTTATGATCTATGCCATCGTAATTTGAACGTTGATCGTCCATCCTATCCAAATCTGAATCGTCTTATCGCTCAGGTTTACTTACTTATAATATCAAATGATCTTTAATAGTTTATCATATCTTTAGTGAAAATATTGATTGGTAAAATTAATGCCTAATTTGTTCCAATTAATTCCAATAAATTTTCTTTTTTTCTTTTTTCTTTTCCAGGTTGTTTCATCAATCACGGCTTCATTGCGTTTTGATGGAGCGCTAAACGTCGATCTGATGGAGTTCCAGACTAACTTGGTACCGTATCCGCGTGTTCATTTCCCGCTGGTAACATATGCTCCTGTGGTTTCCATGGATAAAGCATGTCATGAATCTCTTTCGGTTATGGATATCACCAGAGATTGTTTTGACACTCCCAATCAAATGGTGAAAGTAAGTTACTATTCTACTTTTTTAGTTTTAGTTTTAAATTATTACTTCGCTTTTCTTTTTAGGTTGCAATTGATTTCTTAATTTTCAGATCATTTTGTTTGGAACTATTCAAATATTTCGATTTGAACAATTATCAATTTCTGATTTATCAATTTTTTGATCTAAAAATAAATTATTTTCATAGTGTGATCCATCGAAGGGTAAATACATGTCGGTTTGCCTTTTGTACCGCGGTAATGTCACACCGAATGATGTTAATGAAGCGATTAGTGCTGTCCGCCAGCGTCGACAGATCAATTTCGTGGGTTGGTGTCCAACTGGTTTCAAGGTGAATTGTTATTGTCTAAAAAAAAAAACAGTCCTAGAAATTACCAGAGTTATCATGAAATACTTGACTATTTGAAGCTAACATATTCATTTCATGATGTCACAAAGATTTTTTTTTTGAAAAAAAAATTTTAATAAAATTAAACTTTTCAGATTGGTGTTAACAATGAGCCACCTACAGTGGTACCGGATGGTGATCTTGCACCTGTACCGCGTGCACTTTGCATGCTAGCCAATACAACGGCTATTGCTGAGGCTTGGGCTCGTTTGGATATCAAATTCGATCTGATGTTCTCGAAACGTGCCTTTGTACATTGGTTTGTTGGTGAGGGTATGGAGGAAGGTGAATTTAGCGAGGCACGTGAAGACTTGGCCGTTCTTGAAAAGGACTACGAAGAGGTAAGTTATATCTGTACTAGTTATATCTGATTTCTAAAACTAAAATCATTCATTTTAAATTTAATTTTTTGATTTTCAAATTTTTAAATTAATTTCTTCCTCTGAATTAATTTATATCGGAATTTAGTCAGAATTTTTTTGATTGTAAGCCATTATTCGAATGCATGAAATTACAAATGGTAAAAATACGGTGAAGTTAGAAGTTTGTGATAAATGATTCGTCTTAAAAGTGTGATTTCAGGTTGCTATGGATGAGATTGAGGAGCCGTATTATGATTATGGTTACTGAAGTGGTACCGTAAAAAGTGATTAAATTTTTATTCGTTCTAGCTTTTCTCTGTATTTTTAGGCATAACCATAATCATCCCTATTCTTCTTCCATATCTCACAACAATAAAAAAATTTTCTTTTCCTTTTTTGCATAACACAGAAATGATAGAATTATGAAATTGGAATGAGTGATACCAAATGATATCAAATAATCAGTTATCTAAAACAAGAAAAAAAACATATTAATGGCATATGATATGTGTTGAATAATGTTGATTATTACGCAAAGTTGTAATTTTCTAAGCTCTATTAAGGATTCAGAAAGAAAAGAAAAATTGAACATCATTTCTAATTAAATGTAATTTAATTAGGATTTTAATTTCGATTTGAAAAGGAAGGGTATGGAATGGTGAAATGGGATGAAAGAAATTGGAAAATATTTATATAGCAATATTTATAAAACAAATCATACGTGCATGGACAAATGGATTATGATCATTAATTTTATTAATTATCATTTTCCTCATCACTCAGTTCAATAGCACACACATATCTATCAATGCATTTCACAGTTCTTGCCTATACTATTTCAAATCTGAAACACCAATGAAGATACCAGTGAAGTCTCGATGGATACCAGTAAAGCGTTGAAAGATATTAGTGACGTGTCGAAAGATATCTATGAAGTGTCGAAATGATACCTATGAAATGCCGAAAGATACCAGTGAAATGTCGAAAAACATCAATGAAATTTCGATAGATGCCAGTGAAGTGTAAAAGGATACCAGTGAGTTTTTCCAACTTTAATAATTAAAAAATTAATTATTTAAAATTTAATTGGAGTATATTCATAAACTGTCTGCATTATAGTTGAAAAGGCAATTTCTTTTTTCTTTTTTTTTGGCATATGAAGAAAGATGAAGATATTTTTGAGGGTTGAGAAAAAATCTTTTAAATTTTCTAGGAGATGTACAATAGCATTTTCCATAACTCTGGGATAAAAGGTTATTACTTTGCATCGTAGGTTGAATCCAATTAATTAATTGTCATCCGCTTATAAATTCCGATGCTATTTGAATAATTGAGAGTAAACAAAAGTATGAGAAATACAAAAATGTTTTCTGATAGGAAAAACGGTTTGAGATTTCTCGGATGAAGTGAATCATTTCAGGAAAATTTGATTAACAACTGAAAATTATACAATTCTTCTCATCTCACTGTAAAATGATAAGGATCTATTGGTAGATTGATTATGTTGTTTTTGGCTTACAAGTGAGAAATAAGTGGATAAGTTATTGTGTGATTTCTTCTTTTCGTTTCATATCAAATGGAAAATTTCAGAGAGAGAATGAATGAATGCATTGATCAAGAGAAATATTTTAAAAAAAAATTGTCCATTCGGTTATATTTCTTTCGTTTTTTGTTTTAAGACAAGTAATTGGTTGAATTCATAAGATATGAATTTGAGAAGGATTTAAATGATACAACTCTTTGCTTTTGTAATTTTTATCCTGAAAAGAAATATAAATCGATTTTTTGGGAACAAGTATTAATTAAACAATGTCACTTTAAGTTAAGCAATCAAGTTTATCGTTTGTTTCAAAATCTTTTGGTCAACAAGTAATAGTTCAGATGTATAGTTCACATAATAATTCAATAACAGCTCACAATAAATTTTATTGTACAAACAAAAGTTCCTAATGACAATGTTGCAATTGCATTAATTAAATGGCTCCATCAAGATTGAAACCTTTTTTCGGAACTGAAAAAAAACAGCGACACGTGCGACCACCGCTGCTCTCGCAAATTTTTTGTGTTCTCGACATGCCCGGATCATTCACACTATTGCAGACTTCTTGCTACCTGTAGCAATTTAATTGCAATTCATGAGCCATTGAATTATGCATGAAAGACATCAGTAGTTACATTAAATCTACGCCAAGAGTAAACGTCTCTTACCGCACATGAAAACTCATCATCGCAATTAAAAAACAAAATTTCCCTTTCAATCCGCTGGTAATCATTTTACTGTAATGTTTGCTAAGACAACAAATGAAATAATATTTACCAACAAGAAATATGATTACAGAACAACGATTTTTCAAAATAACAGATTTCAAAATTGCACAGAAACGTTGAACTTGCATAATCCTCCGAAAAAAAAACAAAAAAATCATTTAATTATGGTAAAACACTCTTAATTGTAGTCTTCCATAGCTTCTCACTTTATGATATAAACATAAAATTTTTAGCATTGAATATTCAAGGTATTGGCAATTGCATTGATGAACTATTAATAATCCAGAAACGTTAACATTATTTTAAGCGACATTTCGAACAACGATATACTAACAAGTATATAACTCAGTGATCGAAGAATTTAGAAACAGAATTATATTACGATAAAGAATTTGCGGATTTTGAAGATTCCTCTGGAACGGTATCCAGCTGGGAACTGATCACTGAGATACCCTTTCGGGAACATTCCGCGAAACAAGATGCCATATTATCTGCTGCATGCATGGGCCGCATAACTTCAATTCTGGTTTCCATATTATTGTATGCTTTCTTTGACTCACTGCAATTTCTGCAGAAAATAGTTATGAATAAAATCCTTGAACCTGAAAGATGCGAAACACAATAAGAGATAAATGAGGTTCTTTACCTGTTGACAGTAACAACTGATTCCGATGATTTCGTTCGTTCACGCTCGTGCAGCGCATCTGCGGTAAGACGATTTCGTGATGATGATTCAAATGGCTGCCTTTCTGCAATTTGACCGAACAAAATATTAAATGTAAACTGTGGAATGATTCAAAGATGTACAAGACCAATATGGTTCTCAAACTGAAGTTCAGTTCGGTGCAAGGCGAAATAACAATAACATACTACGGGTGTGGTGAGAAAATATCTCCAAAAACTTTACACTGAATAAGTTAAGCCCAATAGTAAGGACATTTGTTAATTTGGTCACCAGATCATACAGCAGATAATAAAAAGACTTATTTACCATTATTTAAAGCACGTGTATTTAGTAAAGGGGGTGGATATTGTCCAAAACGCCAATGACGAGAATGATCGATTACGTATATGAAGCAATTAATCTCCGCAGCGAAAACGTACAAAATCATAAGCCATATAAGCCAAATTGGAATCAAAACACCAAAGAACAGAAATAACGGCGACCGTTCCGCAAACGACGATATGTTCGTTACCAAATAATGGAAAGTTTCAATTGCGAAGCAAATTATGAGACCAATCTCAAGTAGAAAGTATTCAAACACAACTTTAATGGAAAATTAGGTTTGCAAATCTTTCCTAGTTATGCATTTGGAATTACCATACAATTCAAATTATTTTAGGTGCAAATTCCCTGATGTCTGTAGTTCCTGCACGAAATTCTTAAATATCGTAATTTTTCTTTCATAAATTTAAGCAAACCTGTGCGATATAAGATGGAATAATGATGAATTTGGGAGAAATGAGGCTGTGTTTTTTTATCCGACCACCCTTTCGATGTACAATATCCACAAGTTTTAGTGCCCAAATTCCAGAAATAGCTCTGGAAAAAAAAGACTATTTGAAGTATGACATGAAAAGGTTAGACTATATGGAAGCATGATGAAATGTATGTCCTCTTACTACCCAAGTTGTGAGGACAAACCTAATTAGCAATGTAAAATGACCACAACTTACTGCCAAATCTACGATAACATTAAAGAGTTAACAAACCCAAAAAAAACAGCATAAGCGATAAAAATGCGCATCCAACCAGGCTCGTCTGATAATGATTTAGTGACACTGGGCATCAATACTACCAGAGAGATAATGATCATCAAAATCTGCACCACGAGGAAGACTATCTGTATGTAGCACCAGTTCGTAATTAACTCCGAGATTATCAGAACAAGAGTGCCTTAGCAGCTAACCGACAAGATTAAGAAGTTTCCCAACCCTGGTTGTCAAATTCACTTCCAAGATCATGTTCCGATTCGTATGAATGTAAAAATGAGTCAATAAGAAAAAAGTATGGCAGCAAAGTTAAATAAACTTACTCTAGAATGTATCTGCGAACAAATCCAAAACTGTCGATGTCGTTTAGGAATAGTGGACGAAGTTAAATTAATCGCATCCCGATAGCGGGAACTTCCAAGTCGATGCGAATAAACACTCATGGAAATCTGAAATGATGAAAGAGGAGGACTAATTTCTTAATTTATCTCCAACAATTTCACTTATCTGAATAAAGACATTTATTAGATCTCGGATAAGCATTGAATATACGTAATACGATCTATCACAAAAGTCGTACCCATGTATACGTTTTAATCTGAGCGTTTGGCAATATATACAATGTATTTGGCATGTAAATTAAACTTGTGTCACACAATAACATATGTTAGGTGTAAATTCATTCAGTAAACATATTCTGATAAAGAAGTTCCATCTTGCATGATTAGAAAGAAGTCTATGTATAAGGGTCAACTGGTCAATTTACAATCTGCGAATAGTAACATTATACACTATTTCAGGATGTTTCACTATGCATATGTATGAAGTATATACAATCTTCACGTAACATTCATGCAATCTTTCCATATAACCAACAGTAATACAATACTATTAGCCTAGAACACACATACACACACACACATCTCATCCATTCTAAACATGGGAAATGGCCGAATGCACGTATACACGCACATTCAACATATGTTCGTGAACGTAAGCATACAAGTATGTTTATTCGAATAATTCGATAGATGAAGTGTACACGTAAACATCACAGTCCTCACGTAATCACTCACACAATCCTTTTTAAATAACCACCAATTATGAAATAAATTAACCTAAAAAGAAACACACACACACACACACACATGCACACACACACACACACACGCATACACGCATACCTACATCTCATCCATTCCAAACATGGAAAATGGTTGAATGTACGTATAAGTGTATTTTTATCAACGTAAGCATAAAATATGTACACACAAGCATTCGATGTTTACAGATAAAATAAACACGTAAATATCACAATTCTCACGTAAATACTATAATTCTCACGTAATCACTCACATAACCTTCCCAAATAACCATTAATAGAGCAATAGATTGTTAGCCTAAAAAGACACACATACATATACATCTCATCCATTCCAAACATGGGAAATAGCTGAATGCACGTATCCATATACCCATTGGCATGTTGGCACTTATGGATGGATGAGGTATTACTGTGCTTTGTTGCATTGTTGTTACATAAAGGAATAGTGCGTATATTTTAGCTTCCCATGGATGTACACGTTTCTAACCGATTTTCTTTTGATTATCTGCAAAATAGACAGTTTGACGTACGTATAAGCACAACGTTTCATTTATTGTTACAAATTTTAATTTATCTAGGTATATTTACAGACCTTTTTCACAACGAATTTAAATTTTAAATAATTTTTTTTTTGCAGTCTTGCCAAATTGTTTGAAAATTTTATAAATTGTATATTATTGACAATTTGATATTATGACAGAATCAGAAGAAAAAAGCAACGATGAAACGGATCAGGTAGGGAAATTGTAAAGGATTTATAAGGATTAAGCATGATAAACGATCTTTTAAATGTTATTGTTTAATAAATTTTCTTTTTTTTTCCAAGTTTGAAAATTTTTTTTCCTCTTTATTTAATTCTGGGGAATATTTCAAAATCTTTACAATCATTCTGAACAAGTGGAATGAATATACGTTATATAAAGTGATAGGGTATATATGATGTGTGAAACTTGATATGTATTTCGTTATAAATTGTTAGACAGAAAGGAATGATCAGGCAAATTTCAGGCTCCTCGGATACTGGATCCAGATTTTCTGGATCGAACTGCTTGTCTTCCACCAGATATGCACAATGATTGGATGAGTGTACTTGCTGCCGAAAATAGCCGGCGCATTAGTGATGCTGTAATTTTCTGATCTGTTAACTAATTGATTATTTATTAGCAATTGAATAAGTGATTGATTTGTTAGCAATCGCAACAAAATTGATGCTGGTTACGCACATTTTTCGATGTCACTGATCTAAACTGAAAAAATTTGGGAAAGTTTTTTTTCTTTTTTCTGTTGAGGCTTACACTTCGTTCCGTGAATTTGGAACGTAAACATAACTGAGTGAAAAATTTGTCAAACTTTTCACATAAATTCCTCCCATAGCATTTCGAACATTTGAAATCTTCATTACTTTAGCGTGGTCTCTTTTCATCAGTAAACTTGCAGAATGAGTGGAATCACGTATTTCATACACCTCGTTCTGCTGAATATATTTTCACCGCTTGTACAAGACTTCGTTTGCCACAGGAAGTGAAATACAGTGCACTATTAATATTTGACAAGTAAGAAAAATACTTTGCATATGTCTGTCTTATGTTCATGAACGAAAGAAAACAAGGATATTTGAGCATTACTAAATTTTAATGTTTGTTGCTTTTCTTTTCAAAGTAGTAATTCTTTCTCCAGCGTTAGTTACACGAATTGAATAATTTAATTCTTCACTAACAATGCTTTCTAATATAGACTATATCTTATTGAAATATGAATAAACGTATCAGTATTATATGGTAGTGGGCATTGTGCCAAATCTCAGTGATCATTTTTTGTGGCGGTAGTTGAAATATTTGTTTACGAATGAAGTCACTTATAGTTTTATGGTACAGTTAGTCAGTCGCTTACATGAAAGTGTGTACAAATCGAAACGATCCGATCGGAAGAAATATCAGGAGTGGAATCGTATCGAAGCGACGTTATCACGTCAAACGACGCTACGAATGCTTTCATCAATTCAGATCGCCTCCAAAATGCATAGCTACCATGAAGTAAGTGCTTCGCTTAATGAATTTTTATTTTTAAATAAGAAACAATGAAAGTGGAACTTCCTTTATATTTTTCATAGTTATGATTGATTGGGACTAAGCCATTTACAAGTGGTGATAAGCGAGATACTTGGTCGCGTTGTGGCTTAAATATACGGAAAAACCATCACAATTTCTTGAAAACCAAAATCACTATTTCTGAATTGCACGAATTTGTTGAACCATATTAGATTGAAAAATTTTGAAAGGGTTATTTTGAAGCTCTAATAACGAGACCAGAACTTCATCACCATAACCTGCCTACGTTTATCCGTGGTATTGTTTGTGTGATAATGTGTCGCTTTTCAAATGGAGAAAGCTATTTGTCTAAAGATGACGTCAATTACAGTTTTATGGTACAGTTAGTAAGTCACTTACATGAAATTATATAGAAAAGGACTTAAGAGGAATGTTACTATTTAAATTGTCAGTCGTACAATTATCTCCTCATGTGTTTTTCATTTTTTATAGAGTTTGTCAATTCAAACTGTAAAGCTATGTCTGAAAACTTTGGGATTTGCTTACACGGAAGAATCCGTTGTGCGGTCTGAATTACGCGTCTTATCGATGATCGATTGGGAGCCTGCTTATCATTGTACTCCACTCGTTTATATCGAGTCACTGTTTAAAATTCTTCGTAAGTTCGGAATTTGAGATCTTTAAAACTTTTTTCACACTCTTTAAAATCTTTTTTTGCTAAATTTCGCTTACTGAGTTGTGAAATTTAATAATCAAACAGTCGAATGAAAGTTTTGTTATATTGTCTCAATCTTGCTACCACTTTATTGGCACACAGAATTCATTAGGTTATTTCAGTTAGGGGTTGATCACGAGGTGGATTTAAACGAGATACTTTAAAAGTTACCATCGTATATTACGAAGAATATACTGAGTGGTCCAGGCAATGCTGGTAAGTTGTTGCAATTGCAGAAACAAAATGGGGACAAAATGTTCCAACAGGTGATTACTGGCAGTATATCTTGTTGGTGTTGGATTGTGTTTTCATTCATTGGGACGATGTATACAAACGAATGATGGCCAATGTAATGGGTCCGTCAGCAGACATAGTTACACGGTTTTTTTTTTTTAGATTTCCATTCTGTTTCCAAGAATTGCTCTTTGTTACAGGAGGGACCGGTAACAATGATCTTTATGATAGAACTTCGAAATTCACAATTTTATCGCAACACTAGGTTAACATTGAAGTCCTATTATAGAAGAGGGTATTTGAGGTGGCATCACAAAATAACGATTGCGCCATTTTTTTCTTTTAAATTTCAACAAACTGTTGTTGTTCAGGCCTCAACCGTCATTTCCTTAAGACGAACTCATAGGTCAAGTACATACTTTCCAAATGCTGTTTAACTGGAACTTTCCGTTAAATTCCACACCCTTCATCAACATAATCTACCTATTAACATTCCCAAGCTTCGAAATATACTCGAGTTAGCTTACTCTTTTGTATATTTGACTTATAACTTGGTCCTAACAAAATTAACAAAACGGTCTTAAGTCCTTTGGTATCAACAGTTCGGGCGAAAATATCGGCATTAATTTATGTTTCCATAATTTAGTGAGCAAATGTGCCGTGTGCAAGCGGACTGGTTTTTACTGGCTTGTGGAGTAATCGTGACTGCTGCCTGTTGTATCGACGGAATGCAGGCTGCTGACAAAGTAAGCTGCCATTTTATAACTCCCAGAGAGAAACCACTCCATAGCTTTTTCAAAATCTTTTGCCTTACATTCAGTTGAGGAAAAGCCAGGTCAATTTTCTTTCAGATCACAAACGAATTACACCGATTAAGCAATATTCCATTAGCTGATATAACAGACATGAGTGTCGCCATAATCGAATGCGTTATTAGCCAGCAAGGATCTACTTCCACCACCAGCAATATTTAAATTTGAAATATTTTAGAGCTTGGAGGAGTTGACGTAACAAGACAGTAGGGGTATCTCTTTGCTCATTCGAAGAGACACCTCTCTTGCCTTGTGTTATACCAATTACGTATATCACGTGCTCTGCTCTTGTTAGTATCTCTTCGATCATTCGAAGAGACACCTCTCTTGCCTTGTTACTCCCATTTAATTAGCATGTCTATGAAGTTGTTCTTGGAAAAACAATTCATCCCAAAAATATGCAGTATGTCAGCAGAAAAAAGGCAGCAGCAGTTACGAAATTCAAATTCAAGGATTCAAATTCAAATATTCAAATTGCAAATGTCAGATGCGAAATATTAACAACGCTTTATTTTGTTGAACTCTAGGCTTAATAACTGGTTTTTTTTTTTCATGGAAAACCAGAAGAAAGGCAAAATGAATGACACATTGAAGCTATAGTAATAGAGAGAGGATACAGAGAAATTATAAATTGTAACAAGTGTTAATAAAAGTATTTGCGGTGTAACATAAAGCATAGAAGAAGTAATATTGATAAAAATTGTAGCAAAGCCAACTAAATAAAGGATAATTTGCAGGAGTATGATCACAGCCACTCTAAAATATATCATCAGAATCCAGAAATGAATTGAATGATTTCATTAACAAGCAAAAATATTGTCATCTACTCAGAATCAGTATTAATTTTTCTCTGGAAAATCGTTTGTCGGTTTTATCCAAAATTTCAGTATTTTCCGGCGCTTTATCGATTTCCTCTATCAATTGTCAAGTGACTTAGTTTATTTCTGAATTTTGATGGTACATTCTAGAATAATTATGGCCATATTTATAAGAGTACAAGAATGGTCTTTCTTCTCTCCATCGCTACCCCCAACCAGTTAATTACCCGAATACCTCAAACAAGTTCCACAGTTTCGAAACCGAGGCCTACAGGCGGTCCAACTGGTTCATTACGTGGGCGCTTGTCTGGGAGGAGTTGTATATCGGCAGCACTGTAAAAAATCCTGAAAAACATTCCATGGTCATGGTAGTCCTGTACTACTATGGCAGTGTAGGCTATAAGGTAAATCATTGCAAGATGATGGAGGACCAAAATCTTAGATGCTTATTCTATATTAACGCTTCCTCGATTCTTTTTTTACTGATTGCATTATAAAGTTGGATTAGTGAAAAATGAACTTACGGATGGCTATATTTTTCCTCTATGCTTATGCATGCTGGATAGACTTTCGAACGCATCCTCATCATATGATTTAAGCGCCACATAAGTGGCTCTACATGCTCCAATTTATAGCCAGAATATTTGATCAATTTTGTTGACTGGAAATAAGTTAATATAATCTTCATAAGATTCGGTATTTGTAAATACGATTCAAATCGAGTGTGGCATGGAAAATAAAACTGTTGGGAAGCAAATATACCCATTCTCCAGCTCTTATCATCCTCATCGACAGAAGTAAAGCTGCGGCAGCCATTAAACTGTCCGGAACACAGATAAATTCATAGAAAAGCAGCGATGTCTCCAACACATAACGTGCTAACGTGAGTGTTTGCATGTCCAAACCTCCAGTACGAGAGTAACGCCGCAAAAAACGATATGAAAGCGGAAAATTAACATCGCAATTGAGTGCAGTTAAGATTCTCCGTTCGTACTTGTTGACCATTTTGACTCTCTCAGTGAGAGGAAGATTTATGAAATCATCCGGAAGAGGTGGACCTTGCTGCTGAAATTAAGCGTTAATGATAAGGATGGAATTTTATTCACTATGAAAGCATTCAAAGATTAGTTGAATTCAAAACATTGTAGAACTCAATATCAACTATACGGATACATACGAATACCTTAGTTCTTCTACTGCAAGTATTTTACCAAAAAACAAACTAAAGTTGCATCCAGCATTTAAACATTAAGCTGTTGATAGATTAAAAGATGAAAAAAAGAATTAATCATCAACGTACATCTAGTTTCGCTGCTACAATCATTGCAGCTGCTCCGATATAATCAAACTGTTCCATATTTTTGGTGGCACACATGTAGAGATCAAACAATTTGACCGTATGATACAACACTTCATGATTAACTTCAAAATCTTCTTGACACCGTACGAACCAATCAACAACTTTTGCACGACGGATTTTCTTTAGTTGCGGATGTCTGTATAGATAATCAAAAGGACGAAACTTTAGCTGAAAAAATACTTAAAATCTAATTTACATAATTACATATGAAATGCAAACATACATATGAAAAGCAAACATATTGTTGCAGAACCATAATGCTCTATGAAATGATGTATCGGAAATGAAGATTCAGAAAAAAGCTACTTCTCGATGGTGGTAATAATTGAAGATGTCCATAGCATACTCCGGAAGTTGAAACGGATCGCCAAGATTACCAGCATCATAATCAAATTCTGGACACGGATCCATCCAGATCTGAATTCATTTGAATTTCATTTCTGCTCGTTACTTTTTATAACTATTATTGATGTTAATTTAATTTCGAAGAACTCCTACCAAAGAATTAATGCCAAGTTTTTCAACACTCACCGTTAAGTCCAAATGTTTGGAGGTTTCCGAATCCGAATCATACTTGGTCTCATTGGCACTGAAATAACTTAGAAATGTTGAACAAAATTCCTTATGTTTGATTAGGTTCTTAAATCTTACCATTACTAGTTACTCTCGGTATTATTTTCTAGTATTAACCAAACATCAATACCAGCGATATGAGATACGGACCATCAGTAGGCAACAAGATCAAACATTTAAAATATACCGAAAGGATTTCCGCTCTTCAGACTTAGCTCGTACAACGGGTTGCACCCTTTTGGGTTTCTCGATGATCTCACCGGCTTTTGAACTAATATGTAAGGTTGTGCTGATAGCCTGGAACACAAGAAATCAATACATGAAGCGAAGATTATCCACATTGAAGTCGTCAAACTTACATTGCTCAAATCGGTCAATCCGGTACGTTTATTTCTTTTTGGCAGCGCATTCTTAACATCACTATAAGTCGGGTTAATATTCCGTTTAGCATTAGCCGGAATCATTTCGATATATCCTGAAAAAAGACCAATTTCGAACAATCAGTCTTCCTTAGAAACTGCTTAACACCCTCGCTTCCTCTCCCTTCACCCTTTTGGATAAAACGAAAAAACGAATAACTGTAAAGCAGATTGAAATGCCAGATGAAATTCCCGCAAATCATATGTTATGAAAGATATTGATGCTAACAGTATTAGATCATCTTAGCTTTATTCAATTCAAAAGAAGAAAAATTACCTCGAAAATCACCCGATGATCAATAATCCAATAGAAAGACTGGAGTTCAGTGTTAGTACTAAAATTCAGTAGAGTTAGCCCTCCGCAGTCTGAAATATTCGAAATTAGCCTTTCGTGAATAAAATATATCAAGAAAAAATTGGAGAAAACTTTTAAAAGGTCTCCAAATGAAGGCATATATCCTGCTTCCAAACTGTCATTGCATCAGGCGTACACATTACGCCCCAAAAATTCAATCGATTATTCGTTAATTTAAATACTTCGAAAAAATTTGAATATTTTAGAAAATGTTTTACATAATTTTTACATCCTATCCTCTCCTGAATTTCTACCTCTTCTCTGTGTCAATGATATGAAGAAATCCAAAAACCAGTAATTTTACTATACATTATACTTACGAGTTAATTTATTCTATTTCTTTAAAACTGCTTCAATTTGAGCCAAAAATTCCGCAAAGCAGCAAATAGTATTAATAGGTTAGGAAAAATGTTGCATATTAAGGTTTTAGTCCAAGCTTTTTCTCTTTTAAATGAAGTAATTCATAAATGATAAACATATCAATGTTAGGAAAAACCCTACACTATCAATAATTTGGTTGATAATAAAAAATTTTAAATTTAAAAATTAAATAATTTTACGAATTTAAATAAGAAATTACATATGATCCACCTGATTGTAATATATTAGACGTAGTGATATATCTCGAAGATCTCATCCCCTCACAATAGCAAACTTTCCCCTAGGATAATTTTTCCCTCTTTTCAATAATCTCGCAAACTTTACCCGCCATTTACCTGGAAAAGATTTTTGGGGATTTGGAATGGTTAATTTTTTTTGTGTGTCTGGAAAATTCGAAGCAATTAATTGTATCGCTTAGCGCGCTTTTCAAATGACCGGACGAGGACAATTAGTTGACGGAAGCATCGTTTTGAAACGACTGATCGATTGGATGATCGATAGAGACGATGGTTTAGTCTAGGAAATAGGAGGGAGTTGGTGAAATTTTTGAAATGACATTTAAGCAAACGCTATGAGATGATGAGCGTAACAATGGGTAAACAATGGGCGGCAAAAAAAAGAAAAAAATAATAACCGATTCAATAGAATTATACTTAGAAGGTAAGATAATTGAAAAACAATGGGTAAATAATTGGGTAAGTAATATTTGAAAAAGTAATGTTAACAAGAAGCACTAAATCTTATCATTTTTATTATCATGATAAGATTCAAAAGAAGATGATCATCAATGATAATTCCTATGGAACATTCCAGATGTAAAAGACAATAATTAACGAAAAACGTTTTTTTTTGGCTTACCCTCCCAATAATCGAATTATTTCGGATATTCAAGGCAATTTCAGGATTGCCATCATCCGGAAAATCGTTTAATTGTTTTTGAGCATGGAATTTTGTCCAATCTTTGAGTTATGAACGAAGCACAAAAGACTAAAATTAGTAAAATTCGAGCATTACCAATTGATAATCGAATAAAACTAAAAACAAAAAACAAAATGTATGAATAAATGATATAAATGGGTAAATGAAGGCGGGTAGAATTAAATATACAGTTGGGTAAGTCGTATAGTTAGGTTAAAACGGCTAAAGTTAGACAGACACTTTAGGGTAATGGTAGTATCTATATGGGTGGTCGATCGAATAATGAATAATTATAAGTGAAATGATTAAAGAAAGAACTAACCCTCGTGGCTGGGAAAGTAATCTAGTAACTAATTATTTCATTAACTTTGTCTTCCCAAGTCGAGAATATATCCAAGCAATCTACCCACCCGTCTGATCTCAAATTTCCCGCTATTCCTTGATCTTTTCCCATCCTAGCGCCTTTAAATATAGTACGGTACTATTTGATTCGTTATAAGACTCTTTCACAAATTTAAATTTCAAAAATTTCACCCTCTTTTTATCATTTCTAGAAAAGAAATTTGTCCTCTCATATGAATGGTATTCATGTGTCCATTGTCTGTCTGTCTGTCTGTCTGTCCGTCTGTCCGTCTGTACGTCTATTCTTACGTGCACGCTACGCGTACAAATGAATCGATCCGAATTTCTCCCTCTCGTAGTTCTGCTGTCAACAAAAACAGCTCTAAACAATTAGGGCACTTTTGATCGAAGTGACCTCTCAATTGGTACCATTGCAATCGGGATATTGGACAATGTCCAGCATTGTGTTTGTTAGTTTTACAAAGAAGCAATAGACGTATGAAATAAATAATGGAATAAAATTCCAATGAAATTACAAATTATTCAAATTAATTGAATAACAAGTATTAATGATTAATTTTTAAATTAATGTATGGGCCTTTTTTCTTAAATTAATTTCTGAAATAAATGAAAGTTTTAGATGTATTTATCATTTATCTTTTATCATTCGAAGATATTTTTCATTATAATAACAAATAAATCACCTATATGATGCTATATATAATTTATGCTATTTCATTCTTATCTTTGAATCAGTCATACTATTGTTATCATTTATATTATCATTAATTGATCATTTCTTGAATTGATTGTATTGTTCTGTAAATTTTTTAATTTCTATTATTTAGCTATATATTTTAATTATATTTTAACTTTTTAATCTACATATATACATATATTTAAATATTTTTTATATTTTTTATGCATTTTTAAATTTACATATATATTTTTTAATTTTTATATATAATATCTATTTTAATTTTTATTATCTGGTTTAGCTATTAACCTCGTATATCGTTTCATATCATTGAAATAAGCTTCGAATAGATGAATTGATGTCAAATGAGCCAGCCATAAGATAATTATAACTCAGATTTATTAGTAATTTAATTAGTATTGATGAATTTGACTTGAAAATCCTTTTAATGCATGTAAATTGCGATAAATTATCTTACTATATTACCTTTTTTTATCAGAGCCATAAATAATCTTTGGCTTCATGACTTAGTCTATCAATTAAGAAAGTTTTTTAAACTTATTAGAAAAAAAAAGATGGAAGTGAAGTATTTATACGATAATTGAAAAAAATTAATCAAAAAATCCAATTAAGCATTTACTTATTCCATCTTATAAATTATAATGATAATGAAATTTCGTTGAAATTAACCAATTTCTAATTATTAATATGCGAATTGAAATTAATCACTTTTTTAATTATTAATATCTAAATTGGTTTTCATCAGTTTTTAATTCCGAATATGTAAGTTGGAACTAATAATTTTTTCAAAAAGGAATGAAATTTTTTTTTTTTCAGTGAATTCTATGAAAAAAACTTTTAAAGTTGTACAAATTTAATAAAAAGTAACTCTTAATTATTGTTTAAATCAATATTTCTCCTTTTATATATGAAAATAATTTAATAACATTCGCTGGAATTTTTTTTTTTTGATGAAAAAGACTTATTCTTTCATTCGAAGTATTTAAAGTTTAATGCCATATTCACTTTTATCAACTATAAATTATCAATTTTTTTCCCTAATTGAAATGATAGATTTTTGGTAATTAATTAATTAGTCGAAAATATTTCATTTGCATTTATAAAACATATGCAAAAAAACCACAAACACACACACACACACACATACAAAATAAATGGATGCACCATAGTGCTAATTCTTAAAGTTCTAAGAATTTTCATCAATCAAATCTAAATTTTTTTTACAAACACTTGTTTATACCCTTTGCCAGACATTTTATTTTCATTCTATTCAAAAATGTTTTTTTTTTTTTTTTTTGTTGAAGTACTTATTGCACAATGTATTGTTAATTTATATTTGATTAGAAAAATAAAAGAAAAAGGGATGGAAATTTTTGAAAACTTTTAATTTTTACTTATTAATTCATTAAATGATTCTTATAGCATTTTTTTGAAAATTACGGAAAAAAAAAGTGCAAATTATTTAAAAGAGAATAGGAGAGGTTATGGATGATTTAATCGAAAATTTTACAAATATATACAAATTTTTTTAAGCAAATTAACTTTTAATTTAAACTATTATTATCATTAACAAAGAGTTTTCTTTTTTTTTTTTTTTTTTTTTGAAAATGCATCATATCGTATTGAAATGTAACAATAATCATTAATAGTCGATGATGATTTTTACATTAGCATTTGTAAAAATTTAGGTTTAAAAAAAAGAAAAAAGTAATAAATTGTAAATAGAAGGTTTCGTTTTTTTTTTTTTTTTTTTTAAAAATTAATGCATTGCTGCTACTGTGCAATTAGAATGCACAAATTCAAGTTCCTTTCCCGGATACCTTTTTTTTTGTCATTTCATCATTACTTATACCATCATTTATTTAAATTCTAACATTTTCAATCAAACTTTACTTTTGCTATTACTTTATAAAATGCACGCAATTTCAAGTTCTTAACGGAAACGTTTCTTTTTTAATTTGTTACTCATACTACTCTTTATTTAAACTCTAACTTTTCAATTAAATTCAACAGTTTTTAATGATGAATTTTTCCTGATTATAGTCGATGAGTACCTGTCATTAATAGTATTTGTCAACGATTATCAACAATTTCATGACTTCATTAAGCATGGCTGTATTTAAATCTTCTCTAATCTCCATCTATTATCATTTATTCTAGAAATAGTAAAAGAATTTTGACAGTTTTTTTTCTTTTCATTTCAATTTCATTAATTGTCTTAATTTTATAATTATTTTATTTCATTAGCTTTCTTTTGGAATGTTAAAAGTAATCTTACATTTATTTCATATTTTTTGCTCAAATATTTTCAAAAAATCCTTCTTAGTTTTATAAAAA